ATATCATATATGACAGTTTAGAGTGAAATAATGTGTGGTATCATTGAATAAGTGGACTTATTCAATGGTGGTATGCACTTTTTAGCACCTTTTGGCGATACTAGGTACGTTTTTTTTAAATTCTTAGTACAAACCCCATTGTATTTAATTTGTTTCCTAGTACGTCCACCTGAGTTTTCCAGGTAAGTTTAGTGTCCACATAAACTTAAACACCTATGTTAGGGAGCGAACTCATAATTCGACACGGTAGTTTTTAGGTCTTTGATTTACTCCATTACTTCCATCCCCTTTTCGTTGTTTCTCCTCATGTAACGAGGAATGATGCCTTCCCTTGCAAATTCTACAGCCATCCGATTTACAGCTGTTTGCCGTATGTTTATATCCCAAACAATTGTAACAAAGCCGATTCTTTGTTACGAAGTCTCTTTTATGAGCTAAATCAAATGTTTGAAATCTGTTGCAATTTAGACAAGCATGCTATCCAACCTAGATAATTAACGGATGCACTATTTTCAGTATTATACTCTCGTAAAGAAAATGTTATTTGTTGAGGTTTTTCCTCATTACAGAAGAGTTTATTTGCACAAAACCACTTAGAACATTCTTGATATTCTTTCCAAAGTTGGTCAGCTGCTATCTCACAATTCGAGTCTGAGGAGGTTATTAATGTGTCATCAGCATGAAGCAGTAGTTGGCCTACACATTACTTATAAATTTTACAGTTATTATTTTACTTTATCGTCTTGCTAGTCGCTGTGCGTAAAAAATAACTGTGGTATAAGTTAAGTATATATAAATGTTACTTACTTAAAAAAAGCCATAAGTATAAATATTTATTCATTATAAATGGAGAAAGGACGAATAAAATTTTCACGGACCACCGCTGATCTATATATTAGTACTTTTTTGTAAATCACAAGAAATCAAACACAATTTAAATTTATTGCTCTCGAAATACAAGACACCATTTCAAATATGAACGAAGAAAAAACAAATTATTCTTTGAATGATAATAGTAAAGTTTAGGTACTCTACAACTAGGTAATTCTTTATATAGACATACCTAAATACTTTTTATTTAGGTACCTATCTTTCCCCAAAGTGGATAAAGCCAATATGTACTAATTTCCGTTGATAACGTGCTCTAAAATCGACCTGCCTTATATTGTGTAAGTTTGATTCCACAAGTTAAGACAACTACCAATCAATCAGAAGACATAAAAGGACATACCTCTTACAATTCCTCCATACAAGTGATCGTCGAATTCTATTGACAGCGAATTCGTGAGTGTCTTAATACTACAACTTAAGTAAAAACAAAGTAATTCATTTGGTTGACTTAAATCTGAATCGCACAGATATGTTACGGAAATTTTGTACTTTGTAGCTGCCATAAACCTGACACCATTAGGTAAACCAACCAAATGAGGTACTTCATAATCAGAGACCATTCTTATAATATCTTTTGCTTGACTTAAAAGAACTCCACTATTATCAAAAATTGATACTATTACATTTGTACATGCTTCCCTAAAGCCATCCTTATGTGGTGGAGTGACGGCCACACCATACATAACCACCTCATGTCCTACACTAATAAGACAATGAAATTCGTTAAAATTACTTAAAACTAAATTTCGTTCAATTTTATAGGCCTCTCTAAATCTATATCTAATGTGATAGGGCATTCTGTACCTTTGCACCACAATAGTATTGACACTGCAGTCTGATAAATTATCCAAGTTATTTGCCAATAATCGATACAGCCCCTGACACAAATGCTTTCCCAAAGGTCTAAAACGTAACCGCGATAAAATTCCACTGTTAATTAAAATTTGTAACTTGTTTTTTTCAGTAACGTCAACATTCTGAAAAATGCACTCATCTTCGGACCATTTAATTGCAGCTTCAATTAAATCGATTTCGTGAGCATTAATTTCATTTTCATCGAGCATTGCACAAAAGGTAGACGCTTTCATATGGTAGTCTACTTGCAAAACTTCCTTTGCGGTTAATAGAATATCACGCCAACACTTATTGAGTAATTGATTTAAATTGTACAAAATGGCATATTCGTAACTAAGCAATAGGGTGCGTATTGTGAGATTGAAATAAATAAACTCTACGCAAATGTTTTTCAAATTACTAATGAAATATTTTTGACTAATGTACAAAACCGACCATGCATTATTTATCGATTTAAAGACAATTTTTTCGGTGTAAATAAACTCTAGCATTTGGATAAAATCTCCAGACTCAATGTCCTTTATTAAAACTTCAGCGGATGCCATCGAACCATAAAACATGGACTTAAAAACAGGACTATTATAGGACAGCACCAATTTATGAGCGGGAATTTTTAAATCTTCAAAAACAAACACACAATCAGTCCACTTATTGTTTTCTTCAATTTTTTCCATCCTGTTGAAGCTAAAAACACAAAGGTTTGTTTTAACTCTAAAATGATATGTAGGTACCTACCTACCTGCTTTTGTTTTTAAACAGAAAATTAGATTTGATTTAACTACAAAGGCATCCTTGAACCACACGACTTTACAAAGACAAGGCCACGGCAGTGATCGTTTGTTTTTTTGTATAATTGTATTGCTTAAGTTAATTATATACGTACCTATAATTTAATTTCTTATACTTCGCGTCCTTGCAAACGATGTGGTATATTATGCTAAGCAGCCAATCACAGAGCCAGTTTATGGCGCCATTTGTTTTTAAATTTTGTCCAGTTGACAGCGTATCTGTTGTGCTAATTGCACAGAGTTGTATATAAGTATATATACAACTCTGTGGCTAATTGTGAACTGTGAACACAAAAATTGGAACTCTTTTGTTACAATTTGACCTTGAGATTCTATAGATAAAAATTAAAGCCGTGGCTAGAGGCACGTTAAAAGCCCAAAACAAAAAACTGTTAAAAGTTAAAACGACACAAAACCTACTTTTGACGGTGATTTGTGGTGGGTTAGCGGGTAAAAAAAGACTCTAATGTCTTTGTGCTACCCTGTCGCCACTACCGGAGGAGTTATTTACTTTATTACTTTAAATTAGTCTATTAACCCAATTGAATATTCAAGTAGGTACTACAATTTAACTTATTTAACCCAATGTGGCAGCACTTATCCGTTACTATATATAGGTAGCTGAAGTAGAAGCTCGTACGTTCACATTCCACAAATAAAGCACAAATCACGTACCTATTTATCCATCGTCTATGGTTGAGTGCTAACATAACCACAAACATTTAAAATGGTTTTTTATTTCGAAAGCGATGTGGTTTCTCCACCAGTCACATTATTTATGGGCATAGACAAGCATGAAAGTGAGTACCAATTTACAACGATTTTTAACGTAACCTATAATATTAATTTTTAGATGAAGATCTAATAAAGTGGGGTTGGCCTGAAGATGTATGGTTTCATGTTGACAAGGTGTCATCAGCACATGTTTATTTACGACTTAAATCTGTAATTATAAAAATGTAATTCTTATTACTACTTCTTTTGACATTTTGCAACATTTAGGGTCAAACTATTGACGATATTCCCACAAATGTCCTAGAAGATGCCGCACAATTGGTAAAAGCAAACAGCATTCAGGGCAATAAAATGAATGATATCGAGGTTGTTTATACTATGTGGGTTAATTTGAAGAAGACTGCAGCCATGGAGATAGGCCAAATTGGATTTCATAAGGAAAAAGAGGTGCGCAAGATTAAAGTTGCAAAACGGATAAATGATATTGTTAACCGATTGAATAAGACAAAGAAGGAATTATTTCCAGATTTCCGTGCAGAACGTGAAAAGCGCGATCGGCTAGAACGTGAAGATAAAAAGAAACAACTACGGGAACAAAAAGAAAAAGAGAAGATGGAAGAGAAACGAAAAGCCGAAGACGCTGATATGCGCAGTTACAGTACACTTTTTAAAGTAGGCAGTATGACCCTTAACACCGATGATGGTAACGATTCTGACGATTTCATGTAATTAATAAAGAATACAATATTAGGTATTGTAAAACTTGCTTTATTTTAGTTGAATACCTACTGCTTGTAACGCATCAATGACCCAATTTGGATAATCTTTGTTTGGGTGCAAATCGACCATAAAGCTTTGCACAAATTCCACAAATTTATTTTCTTTAATGCTTTCACGTATATTTCTCATTAATCTTAATTGAAAAGCGACATTATGAACAGTTAGCAAATGACAAGACACGGTATGAATAGTTGCGATGTGATGTAAATAAGAACGGGTATATGTTTTACAAGTGGAACAATCGCAATCTTTATCAATAGGAGTTAAATCAGTTTTATACATTTTCTGTTTTAAATTTAATTGACCAGTCATTACTAATGCACAACCGAACCTCTGCAAATTAAGACATTATAATGGGATACCTGTTTGAGCATTATTTCAACTTACCGCCGTTCTTGTTGGAAAGACACAATCGTACATGTCTACACCTAATGCAGTACAAACCACCAAATCAATGGCAAACCCAACACCCATCAGATACCGAGGCTTGTTCTTTGGCAAGATGTCTGTCGATAGATTAACCATTTTCCAAAATTCATCTTTACTTTCCCCTCCACTTAGTCCTCCAATTGCGAAGCCTCTAACATCTCGTTTCATATGTGCCTTTGCACTTAAGGATCTCAGTTTCGTATTTAACGTTCCCTGCACTATGGGGAAAATATTTTGATCTTCAACTCTTTTGTGTGACTGCATGCAACGATCCAACCATCTAGTCGTCCGATACATGGCTTCTTCAATTCTTTTATCATCGGAACTTGTAGTTTTAACTACATCATCTAACTGCATGATTATATCTGCACCAATCACATTTTGTATCTCGATGGAATGTTCAGGAGTTAACACGATTTCAGACTTGCTTGCATTTAATGACCGAAACTGAACACCTTTCTCTGTGATTACAGCAAGTTTTAAAAGCGACACCATTTGAAAACCACCAGAGTCCGTTAGGAGTGCACAGTTCCAATTCATAAACTTGTGTAAACCACCAGCTTTTTTTAAAATTTCCACACCCTATAAACATGGTACAAGTGATTAAAATGAGGGGTAGGTAAACTTACAGGTTTAATTCCCAAATGGTACGTGTTCGCAAGCATTATTTGCACACCTAAATTGTCCAACTGTTCTGTTAGTAATCCTTTGAGTGTACCCTAAGTACATACTAAAAAATGTAGCAAACCTGCACCACCTTACCCATTCTTACCTACTTGAGTTCCAACTGGCATGAAGACTGGTGTATCAACTTCTCCATGAGGCAAAATCATTTTGCTAACTCTTGCTTTGGAAATTTTACATTCTGCTAACACATGAAAAACAAGAGGATGTCTTGATGACATGCTTAAAGCTTTATGTTTATTTATTAAATGAATAAACAAAGCTTAAAGGATTTGATGGCAAATTCTAACCACAAGAAAATAACCGCAGCACACCTAATTCAGAGAAAACCTAGTATTGTATTGCCACCAAAAGCGATTTGCAGATGTGTTGCACATTGACTCCCTCGGTACTACGCAACCGCAAGCGCGCTAGAATTTGAATTTGCGTAGAACTGTCTAAAGCCGGCTACAGACACACACACACGTACATTCCTTGAGATACGTACGCGCGTGCATTGTAAGCACGTACATATCCTTCGGTGTGTAGACAATATCTTCCTAAAATATCTCTCGAAGATGTATTCAGTCAATGCTTGAATTTTTGTACGCGCGTACATATCTCTAGGAATGTACGTGTGTCTTATAAAGTACGTTTTCTATGAAGCGTCTGACCCGGTGTGGCTTTTATGCATACAACTGTAGACGGCCGCCGCATGCAGGTTAGAACACGCTTCCATTGCTTTCTATTGAGGCGGTGGATTTTGCGTCAGCCGCACCGCCTCAGACGCACGCGTCATACGCTTCATAGGAAACGTACCAGACTACAAGCTGCAGAAATGAAGTACTTGCGAAGGGTAAGGGGAGTTGGTGGAATTCCTATAGTAAGAAGATAAAAAAAGAAGTGGATGCTCTGATAGAGACCTTTGATAGACAAAAATTAAAACGCTTATTTGGACGCCTTGGACAAAGGGAAAACAGTTGGCTTGCGAAACACATATGGAACACCGAAATTCAAAATAGGAAGAAAAAGGTAGCATACAGACAACATGGGATTGGGGTATGTACCTAAGGAGCAAGAATACTTCAAGATCAAGGCATAGAAGCGGAGGAGGCTAAAAAGGCAACTTTAGACTAGAAAGAAAAGTTGCACGATTTACTGTCGGACACTATATACTGTCTTAAGTGTTTAATAGCATTGCGAGTCCATTTGACAGAACTCGCCGAAGAAATCTTGCGACAAAAGGGCAGCTCACCAAGTTTTCGCAACCTTTCCATTTCGTTTCGATATTTTGGCGAGTAAACGTACGAGTTTTATTATATTGTGGCACGTAAATGAGTATCCTGCTTTTTAATTTTGTAATAACAGTTCCTGAAGGTCTATCGCTGACATACGAATAAAATTTTTAAATTGTTGGGATTGATTCTCCGATTCTCAGCTCATCAATTAATTTATGGTAGGCCCCATATTTTTCTCTTCTTGAAATCCATTCTTTCACCCAACACTTCTTTTGTGTTTCACATTATTGCATAAAACGACAGCCGCGACAACACAAAGATGTCCTATAGGCGCCATAAACGTGAGATAAGTTCTCAAAAACAGCTGCTATAGGTATCAATTGACAGCATTTGCGGAAGCTAAAAGTGCTACAAGTAACTAGTGTAAACAGTTTTGTGAGACCTTGCAACAGCCGACAGCAATGGCTCACCCAACTTGCTCGACAGTTTATCGCGACACTTATTGCTCACAGTGTATAAATACATGTGGAAGTTTCTCCCGCGAGATTGTCGCAAAAGTAACTTGCTAGTCTATCTGCGACTTGAGAAGTTAACGCGAGATGGGAAAAAATGGAGCACAATAGTTTATAGCTTGGTTTATAGTGACTTATCTGGTAGAATATGTTAATTTATTTTCCGTACACCATGATGGTAGAAGGGTTTTGATTATAATAAATAAAAATGTTACAATTCTTATAATGGAGATCCAAAACACAACCATCTCCATTAATGTTTAACCCCATTTTGTGAATATATACCCAAGATCAAGATGGGCCTCAACAATTATGTTACAATTCTTGTTGTTTATTCCATATTATACGCTGTAAAGGATCATGACGGTTGCTTTCTTTAACCACCTTGCACTGCCCTAAATTTTCTAAGGTTTAGTTGTGATCTGTAAATTCTAATGGCCATCAACACCTTTTCAACAATCGATTAGACTAACTGGTAACCACAGTGTTGAGTTGCTACAGGGACAATATGCAATTGTAATCAAACTTATCAAGGGGAGAGAACATTTTTATTACAAATATTAAAAAAATATATAAATACACCTATTCTAAAGTATAAATTTCGTAATACTTCTTGTAAATTTTATAACTACATAGCAACAAAACCGCTTGAATCAATTAATTAGACAGCCCCATCCGTAGATTCGATATATTTTTTACTCAGTCTTGCAGTTTTACATAAACTAATTTCACATCTCTTTGGAGGCAATTTCAGACGTAAATTCAACCAAAATTTGTCATTCTTATACCTTTCCCAATTTACTACATTGATATTTCCAACAAACGAGGAAAAGGATTGGCCCACAGAATTTTTTATGTTACTCTCAGTGGTTGGAAAGTCTTCTAAAGTAATACAGCAAAATTGATTATCTAAGTCGTACAGTTGTTTTAAAGCCAGATGTAAGTTAATACAATCCCATTTATCATTTACACATGCTGGCGACATAACCGCTGCAATTCTGTAGCATTTCTGGCATAAATCATCCAAATCCTTGTGCCCTATAATAAATTAATTAGTCATGTGGGTATATAAAGAGTGAAAATACATACAATCGGATGCATTTCTTGGTAATTGCCTTGATACACATTTGTAATTGTATTTTCCTTCTAAAGTTGGTAGGAAGACTCCCAACGTAAGATCAGAATCTTTTTCAGAATACAGTAAAAGAATGTCATTAATTTTTCCATTGTTTTCTAGCAATCGGCCAAAACGATCCTTACAAATCACTCGCACAACCAAACCAAATTGCAAGTACAAGATTGCAACAGTCACAATTAATAAAACTACAATTGTTGCTGCAGTCAACAGTTTCTTGAATGGCACCTCATTTGGTTTTAGGTAAGGGATCCCATTATCTGGAACAAAATTTTAGTCAGTACCTATACCCATTGGAGCAAATATTCAAATGTTAATTTAATCTACTAATAGTCCGGTAGACTGGTTGGAAAAAGTGGAGATAGGTGAAATAAGGTTGGATGAAACTTTATGATATTGTTCAGGGATGCCGAGATTATTTAACATTTTCTCAAGTTTTGAACCTCGTGGACTACACAAAAAAAAGACGGGGGGGGGGGCTGTCAACAATTCCAATTCCAACAATTTTGACTCACAGACATGTTTGTATTTCTTCAATTCGTTACCTAGATATCGAGCTTCGAACAAATGTTATTTTTAAACATTTTCATTTACAAAATCTAATTTTCTTCTGTGATGAAAGCCAACCCTTCTGGTTCTACTTCTAGCAGCTCGTCTGCCTCCTATGGCTTTCAATCACGTCGTCGCCATCGCCGAATTCGTGTCGTTACTTATTATGTCTGATGGTGAGTTCTCCTCCTTCAAAGCAGTTGCGGTCAGTGTTTTAAAGGGTCGGTAAAAAACGGAAAATTTGAGAAAGACACAGGGTCTTCCTCCCTTTTTTCCCGAGCGTAAGGATAAATTCGCTATGTTGTGAAGAGTTGGTTGGATGCGTAGGTATATTCAGTAGCATAACTGTATCTCGTGTTGTAGGTACCTACTTCCCAAAGTTTGTAAAACTATTAGGAATCACCCTGTATATAGCTAAGTAACAAAATCAGGGGCGCCGACTTATCAAAATTTATGTGGGTGCTCACCAAGCGAGAAGCCTCACATATTATGTCCACAGATGCGAATATCTGCTGCGTCTACTGGCCCTGAAAATCGCCCAAAATCGCAAATAAAACGACAAAATAAAATCGAATTTCTATTACATATGAGTAAAGTAAAAAAATATATCTAAATTTCTTCGTGTTTAGTAACTATCGAGAAAAAAGACCTAAATAGACAAATATCAACCGGAAAATTCTGTGGGTGCATCGCACCCACATAACTTTTTCTGTGGGTGCTTAAGCCCCGAAGCACCCACGTAGTCGGCGCCCCTGAACAAAATTACTTTTTGAGTAGAACAATATAGTTACACTAAGTAAATATCTGAAATTTCAAAAAATATTTAGATTGAAAGACCTGAACAACTATTTTAATTTAACGCTTATGTAAGTCAAAATACATTCCTTTTGCGTACCTTTTGGATTAATATAGGCAGATAATTCCAACAGTCGACCAGGTTTTATAATAGTGCACGTGTATTTTCCATAATCTTCTTGTTTCAAGTTGTCGATTATCAAGTAAGATCCACAAATTTGGTTATCTTCCCTGGAAAACAGAACATAGGTAGAAACAATAGGTACTGTGTCTAATAATTTGATTAACAATAATACTATACTTAGGATTTATTTTCCAACAGAAAATATCCATTAACAGGGCAATCTACAATGTTACCATAAAAATAAGTAGTGTATTAGGTCCTTAACTTAATAAATATACTTCAACAAGAAAATAGGTAGGTACCCAAAAAAACCAACCCTAAAACTAAATGAAGAGGAAATAATTGGTGTTACAAATCAATGAGGTTAAGCTACAATGATTAATACCGCACATGCGATTTAAGCTACTAAACTGATAGTTAAACAACATGGGATCGGAACATAATATCAGTGCGAGACCGAGAAGTACCATAATGAAAAGTTTTCGTATAACGTGATGAGATTCGAGGAACATTAAAGGGATATAGGAAATGCAGCAGATCCGGGCAATCGATGCAAATATGCAAGAGCTTACAGAGGAACGTTATACTAACTGGATAAAATCCAAAAGCTTTGAAGTGCAAAAACTTTAAAAATCTTCTTCGAATACCCTTTAAGTGCTGCTATATGTTTTTTGTAAGTGGGATTGTAAACTAATAAACCATACTCAATTTTCGATCTAACCAATAAAAAGGAAAGAAGAGAATTATTTAAAAGTAATAGTGTGCATTTGCGGCAAAAGATATATGTATGTACCTACGAGTGTAGGTATACCTACTATCGTTTCTAATATAAGAACGGTGGTCATGGATGTTTTTTTATGGAAAATTGACTAAAAAGAACTAACTCGCTCCAAATGATAACACAGATTTAATTAGTCTTTTTACATAACTCTTATTCTTAACTTGAATCTTTTTCTTTCCAATTGCGTTCCCACTCGCTAGCTTTGCGCATTGAGTGAAGTTCTTCGAGAAATAAACAAGCTGTATTTACTTCTAAGTTTTAAGTAAGGTATTTGGTACCTATATATTTATTACCTACTCTCGCTAGGAGTGACTGCCGGTCACAGCACACCTTGTGTCGATCTACAATGTATGTTTTTCTTAAGATGCGAGCGATTTCCGGAATAGGATCGTGCTAAAGCTGAACGAAAAGTCTTTTTGTTCAACATTGACATGATACTATCCCGGAAGTCACTCACATCTTTAGTATTCTTTATTGTTCAATTTACTAAACTAGGTGTTCTATGCAGGCTGTCGGACCACCTTTTATACTGGAATGCGCACTGGCGGCCTCTGTCATAGGAACGTAGCGCGCCGAGAGAGATAGTGAAAGGGGGATTTCTGTCACTGTCACTCAGTGGGCAACTGATCATTAATATAAATTCAACGCTGCTCTATGCATGCGCGAGAGTAGGACAGAGATCCCCCTTGAATCGCACTTGTTGACGGAGCGCGTGTTCCAGTATAATTATAGTTGAGTGCAGTATCCGGAAATACCGCAATCCTTCCCAGGTACCGGTTGATAAAACGACCACGGCGAATATTTTTTTTAAGGACTATTTGAAAGTTTTATTTTTTGTGGGGATTTGGTGGTGATGTGATGAAGTAGGTACCTACCTATCTTGCACACAAACGTTGCCAATCTTAATAAATATCGCCTACCCTAAATATTTTTTTGACACGAGAGACTGATGAATAAGCAGATTAATATTTACTTACCTAAAAACTTTTATTTGATGTATACGCGGACCATTCTTAAATGTTTCGCTACCGCCAAATCTAGTCCAATAAGCTTCACTGAACGCGTCAGGTAAATCAACAAACCCTAAAAATAGTAGTAGGTATGTACCTAACACACGTTTACTAGTAAAGGCTGATTTATAAACTTTACGTTCGCGTACGTCGTTGCAGAACTTATTTCGGATAAGGTACCTACACTAGTTTACAGTTTGTTAATGAAAGGGACAAGAATTATTTCTGTGAAAGATTTATAATGAATGAGCATATATAAAAGACTTATAATACTTATTTATGCATCAAGGGCATTAAGGTGATATTTAACCCTCGAGCGACTTACAATCCCGCATGAATATTACTTTAATGCCCTTGATGCATAAAGGATATTGAAACACTTCACACGCGAAAAAGATCAACTTTGGCAGTTTGATTTTGACACTAATTTGCGTGCCAAATGGGTATTCTTTTTCCATTGGTCTTCGGTGAACTACGAACTGGCAGCTCGAACGCGGGCGACAAAGTTTATAAATCAGCCTTAAAACTTGAAAAATTACCAACAAATGCTTCGCAAAACAACCTTGTTGACATCCCAATAGAAGCAGACACATTTTTTGAAATGAAGGTAATCTTGGGATCATCCGGTAGCGTTTCTACAAATAAAACAAATTGTTATAATACGCCTGAGTTAGCTATACGTGTGAGTCGACTCATTCATGGAAAATCTTTTAACATCACAACAATCAGATGTACTACCATAATAATAATCTTTACTTTATTGTTGTTAATAACACAATTTTTTGTTTACAAACGTCAAGGCCGAAAATGATAAAAAACGAGGGACAAAATAATACATTTTAATGACTAGCTTAGTGTATGGTTGGTTGCCTAAGTGGCAGTAAGCTATAGATTATTTTTTATTATATCATTACATTTTTGGGTGATTAAGCGGTCGGCTGGCGAATTCCTTTCGCAAATTTATATGTAGATATATTGTTGCAGCGAATTGATTTTTTAATGGTTAAAAGAAATTTTTCAGTGTTAGGATTTTAAAAAGAAGATTTTCAGTTTCCTATTTTTAATAAGTAGGTATGTAATATGGAATTCAACTTACCAAACACTCTCAATGTAATTGTGTGAGTATACACAACAGAGTCATTCCTTAAAAGGCACGTATAATTCCCGGAATCTTCTCTCGTAACACATTGAGTATATACGGTTTGATTGGCGCTTTCTGGATAGATGATTAACGGTGAGAACGTTCCATGCCACGGATATGGCCTTCCATCTTTATACCTAAAAATGAAAAAACCTGAAAACCGTTAACAAGTGTGTTAGGAGGAATATAATTGAATAAACCAACATTATTTTGATAGTGTGGTGTTTAACTATACATATATAAACCATCCACTCATTATGATCGAAAGTAGACATGAGCATGATTCGTGTTCTAGATACAAGATTGGGCAGTAACGAGGGCAGTAGCAGATATAACATTTATTGAAATGTACACAGTAGGAAATACAATCGCGTGTAACGGAGAGTGACAAACTACAGCTGCAGTATGCAACAGCAACACTCTCTTTTGTTAAGCAGGCCTTCCACGCAGAGCATATTTTAAGCTATAAAGTAGGCGACACTAGTGCCGCCTAGTAAAGACTTTTGGTCGCCCGGTAGTGTGTAAGGATATAAGTGGCAAAATCTTTGTCTTCGAAAAGTAAATTAAAACTAATCATTCCGCGCCTGTAGGTATTTGTTCGCCAAGTTTGTACGAACCATGTGCGAACGTGGAAGGGTGTTTCAACATTGCGTTCCAAGTTCGAAGACATGGCGTTAATTCAAAATTAAGAGATTATAAATGATAGACATGGCATACATTTTATTAAATCTGTTGTTTTGCGATTTTTAAGGTGGCGTTTAGGATAAGTGGAAATTTGTTACCACAATAACTTCCTTCTAGGTATAAATTTTTGGTTGAAATAAAATTCATTCAAATATATAATGTTCCGACATTTGCATGAAACAAAAATTATTTAGTCGATTCCTCTACTTTGGCCGTTATTTAGGAAATAAGTTGTTAAAAAACTCCCATATAAAATATATATCTTTCATTTTTATCACACACTGATAAAAATTTGTTAACAAATTTAACTTCAGTCACAAGCTTAAACCTTTAGCAACCATCGGTCGTTAACAGAAGTTCATTTTTTTACCTCGAAACAAAGTTATTGAAGAAATCGCAAGGCAACTTTTGCACTTTTTGTAAACGCCACCTTAACGTATAGAGTGGGTTTTGCCCACTGTTCCAATTTTTCAAACGGGTCAAAGCAATATCAGTGAATCATAACAATAAAATTACTCTTCTACGTAATGAAAAGCCATTCCGAACCTGCCGAGTGACGTATGAAATGATGAATGTACCTATACCAAGAACGAATTTTACCAGGAATTTTATGAACTGACGCTAATTCTCAGTAAGTATCTACTTTGGTAAACCCGCCCCGCAGAAGAAACTAAAAAGACTTACCATTCTATACTTCTGTATCCCTTCGCACAGCAATGAAGCCCTTTAAATTGTCCAAGTATGGCATATTCTGATTTACTAGGTTCCTTAGTAAATCCCATTATGTTTCCAATCCCGATTAATTTATTGGTGGAACAATAATCTTCAATCGCATAACAGCTATTACTAATAATAACTGTTAAAAACCATAGTAAGTAAACCGCCATTTGTTTTTGTTTTCAAAAACTTCTGTCACATTTTTATCTATGACCTGTACTCGCGACAAACACCAAAGAAACAATGACCGAGCCGTATAGCCGGTAAAACCACAAAGTTTATGAATGCCGCATTAAGGAATCGTGTCAAATCGGAAAACACCTGAAACGTTTCGCTTATGTTCGAGGTTAGCAATTGTAACATAAAAAAAAATAAAACTTAGACTTCTTTTTTTTAACTGTAAGTAGCCTTATCATGAATTTAATTCACTAATGTTTTTTTCAATTTTACTGTGGGCGATAAATTTTGGAAGATATCGGCCGTCTTGTTTCCATTTTTATTGGAGATGATGCGATCCGTTTAATTTGTATTTTGATTGTTTAATTAACGGAAAAACAAAACAAAAACTCACTGTTAAAGTCTTGTAGAGTCAAGCAGAAGTAATTAAATATTGGCAGTGGCAGAGCTTCGCACATTTATTTCCCAACAGAGGGAGTTTTTTGTTACAACTGATGAATTAAATTTACGGTGGAATAAGAAATCCACGTTGAAGACACACCAACGGACACCTGAGGTCACTCAAGATTCGAAACGGTTCGGCCGCCATGGCCCTAAACGTTTTCGAGCACTTATTCCTAAATAACTCGGGAACCCGATAACGGATCGCGCTCGTTCGACCGCCGTTGGATAGGGGAATAACGGGGCCGCACGGGGATAGTTATTTCGTTTGGAACGGACCAGAAATAACCTCGGAAATAAATTTCAAAAACGATCAAATACGGACAGAAACACCCAAGTTCGGCTGGGTCGCGGTAGGTTACGACAGCGAGTTAATCGATCGTCAATCGTAGGGTAGAACACGAAAGCCACGTTCAAGACGCACCTACGGACCCCTCGGGTCACTCAAGATTCGAAACGGTAAGGCCGCCAGAGCCCAAAACGTTTTCGAGCACTTATTCCTAAATAACTCGGGAACCCGATAACGGATCACGCTCGTTCGACCGACGTTCGATAGGTGAATAACGGGGCCGCACGGCGCCGTTTACGGTTTTTCAATCGGTTCACAAACAACGTGGGAATTACAGTTCAAAGTCGATCAAAAGTGGAAAAAAGCAACCAAATTTGTCCAGGGTGCGTTAGGTTAACACTAGCGAGTTAATAGATTATCAATTTTAGGGTGGAATACGAAAGTCACATTCGGGGCGCGTCTACGGACCCTTTGGGTCATTCGAGATTCGAAACGGTTAGGCGGCCAGGGCCCGAAACGTCACCGGGCACCTATTCCCCAACAACTTCGGAACCCGATAACGGATCGGGCCCAATCCGTCACCGTTCGATTGGGGAATCACGGGGCCACATGGCGCAGCATACGGTTTTACAATCGGTCCATAGATAACGTCGGAATTACAGTTCAAAAACGAGCAACTTTTGTCAAAAATTTTGACAATTTTTTTCTCGTAGGCCCTTCGGGCCGGAGAGGAGCGGATCGCATATTTATGACGTCCGCGGCAAGGGTAACGATTGATAAAATTTTGAAAAAAATCGAAGACCTAAAATTTTTTCCAGTCTCGTCAAAGGGGGGACCAAGGGAAAACGAAAAAAAAACTTTTTTATTTGCGAACCGATTTTCGATTTCCAAACGTCGATCGATAGATCTCGTCGAAAGAGTCCCCGACGACGCTTAAAACATTCAGGGTCATATATAAATAAGAATTTTACGGCTTGGGTTAGGATCACCGAAAAAAAAAAAATTAATTTTTCGTAAACGGCGCGTCCTATCAAAAAACGGTAGGTTAGGTTAGGTTGTATGCGGAAAAGCAATCAGGTGCTACGAGGCTCTTAAAAAGATACTGCCCAACACGGGAGGCGCTCGTGCAACAAAGAGAAAGGTGCTGGCGGCGGCTGTCATGTCAATCGTGCTGTACGGCTCCGAAGTTTATGTCCATGAACTTGGCAGGCCTACTACAGCAGACCATGGTTCTGTTTACTCATATCGTTAGTGTTCCGTTAGTGCAGGTTAGTGCCGCTGAAGAAATCGTTAGTGCACAAAAGGAAACTTACTATTTTCAAAAAATATTTGTAGGTTTTCTAACTTCATGCCAGCAAACCCATTTAAGAAAATCGATGCAATCTCTACACTAGTTAAACTAGCAGCGTTAGTGCTCGTTAGTGCCGCCAATATAAACGTTAGTGCTCAAAGTGTAACAGCTCAAAACGTTGTAAAAAGGGGTCTGCTAACTTCATGCAACAGACCCGCATTTGTCAAATTGGCCCTGTCCTAATGCAAATTTGAAGCAGCTCGTTAGTGGTCGTTAGTGCTTCACATGGGAACGTTAGTGCTGCAAGGGCGCCGCACCAAAAAGGTACCAAACCACCTCAAAATTAAACTTGACTTATTGGGACCTGCCAACTTCACGCCGTTTGATTTTCTACTTTAATCGACCGGTAAGTATTAGTGCTCGTTAGTGCCGCCAATATAAACGTTAGTGCTCAAAGTGTAACAGCTCAAAACGTTTTAAAAAGGGTCTGCTAATTTCATGCAGCAGACGCACATTTGTCAAATTGGCCCTGTCCTAATGCGAATTTGAAGCGGCTTGTTAGTGCTTCATATTCGAACGTTAGTGCTGCAAGGGATCCGCATCAAAAAGGTACCAAACCACCTCAAAATTAAACGTGGCTTATTGGGACCTGCCAACTTCACGCCGGTAGACCAACGAACGAAATCTGTTTGATTTTCTACTTTAATCGATCTATCAGTATTAGTGATCGTTAGTGTCGCAAAAAAAACGCTCGAAGCGCAAGAGCTCAAGCGTGAAACTTTGGGTTTGCTAAATTCATGCAGCAAGCCCACATTTATTAAAGTAGTCCTGCCTTAATGCGAATCTGAAGCTCCTTGTTAGTGCTTTTAATGGTTCCGTGTCGAAAAACTACCAAAGTATCTTAAAAATTAACTATAACTTATAGGTTCTGCTGAAAACACAACTAGCAAAATTTGTTTCCAATCCAAAAAAAGTCGAAGAGAATGAACGAAATGTATTTTGGAACTATTTTTAATTTTTTTAGCAAACCCCTTTTTACAACGTTTTGAGCTGTTACACTTTGAGCACTAACGTTTATATTGGCGGCACTAACGAGCACTAACGCAGCTAGTTTAACTAGTGTAAAGATTGCATCGATTTTCTTAAATGGGTCTGCTGGCATGAAGTTAGCAAGCCTAATAACGTGCACTAACGGAACACTAACGATATGAGTAAGCAGAACCATGGTCTATTGTAGTAGGCCTGCCAAGTTCATGTACATCCGAAGTTTGGGGATCCGCCATGAAGTGGGGCGTAGCGGCGAATATGACCGATAGAGTCACAAGGTTATTAGCAGTGTCAATTGCGAGCGGGTACCGAACGGTCCAGTCGGACGACATCATGGTAATAGCCGCCCTTCCACCAGGACAGCTTATGATAAAAGCAAGGATGGAAGGATGGGACAAAGCGCGATTGCACCAGGAATGGCAAGAGAGATGGGAGCGGAGGCAGTCCTGGACCAGGAAGCTCATCCCGAACCTGGATAACTGGGTCGACAGGCTGCACGGAGAAGTGGGCTATCATCTGACCCAATTCCTGACGGGACACGGGGAAAATGCCGTGTACTTACTGCGGATAGGGAAACGCGATAGTGACGAGTGTGTGGACTGCGGAGATAGAGACACGGAGGGACATGCCGTATTCGAATGCCAGAGATGGACAAGAGGCAGAATAGAGACCGAGACAGAAGTGGCAGCAACTCTACAGCCGGAAAACATCATCCAGTTGATGATAGAGAGCGAGAGCAAGTGGACCAAAATCGCGCGGTTCGTGATCACCGTAGTCCAAACTAGGGAGAGGGAGGCATGGACTAGGGGTCAATAGACGGGTAATACAATATAACTATGGCTACATCTATGGGGACGAACACCTACCCCGGCCGTTCGGCATAGCGAGGAATGCTAGCGCGGTGCCCTATGCCGACAACTATGGCGAGTGACGATGAGTCGATAGAGGATAGGGTTTTAGTGGGTAAACCTTACCTAGATGGAAGGGAGTCCCGCACGCCCCCCCGCTATGACCGCAAGCGGGGGTAGTCCATAAAGGATTTCCCAAACCTCTATAAAAAAAAAAAAAAGGTTAGGTTAGGTTAGGTTAGGTTAGGTTAGGTTAGGTTAGGTTAGGTTAGGTTAGGTTAGGTTAGGTTAGGTTAGGTTAGGTTAGGTTAGGTAGGTTAGGTTAGGTTAGGTTAGGTTAGGTTAGGTTAGGTTAGGTTAGGTTAGGTTAGGTTAGGTTAGGTTAGGTTAGGTTAGGTTAGGTTAGGTTAGGTTAGGTTAGGTTAGGTTAGGTTAGGTTAGGTTAGGTTAGGTTAGGTTAGGTTAGGTTAGGTTAGGTTAGGTTAGGTTAGGTTAGGTTAGGTTAGGTTAGGGTTAGGTTAGGTTAGGTTAGGTTAGGTTAGGTTAGGTTAGGTTAGGTTAGGTTAGGTTAGGTTAGGTTAGGTTAGGTTAGGTTAGGTTAGGTTAGGTTAGGTTAGGTTAGGTTAGGTTAGGTTAGGTTAGGTTAGGTTAGGTTAGGTTAGGTTAGGTTAGGTTAGGTTAGGTTAGGTTAGGTTAGGTTAGGTTAGGTTAGGTTAGGTTAGGTTAGGTTAGGTTAGGTTAGGTTAGGTTAGGTTAGGTTAGGTTAGGTTAGGTTAGGTTAGGTTAGGTTTTAGGTTAGGTTAGGTTAGGTTAGGTTAGGTTAGGTTAGGTTAGGTTAGGTTAGGTTAGGTTAGGTTAGGTTAGGTTAGGTTAGGTTAGGTTAGGTTAGGTAGGTTAGGTTAGGTTAGGTTAGGTTAGGTTAGGTTAGGTTAGGTTAGGTTAGGTTAGGTTAGGTTAGGTTAGGTTAGGTTAGGTTTAGGTTAGGTTAGGTTAGGTTAGGTTAGGTTAGGTTAGGTTAGGTTAGGTTAGGTTAGGTTAGGTTAGGTTAGGTTAGGGTAGGTTAGGTTAGGTTAGGTTAGGTTAGGTTAGGTTAGGTTAGGTTAGGTTAGGTTAGGTTAGGTTAGGTTAGGTTAGGTTAGGTTAGGTTAACACTCGGGGGGTGTTTGATTTTCGAAAGTTATACATCGTCGGAAAGGCCATTTAAAGACGCGTCGATAGACCCAAAGGGTCACTCAAGTTTCTCAAAAACGTCGGAGTTATGGCCGTAAGTGTTTTTCGAGACATTTGGGGTAATAACTCCGAAAAGTCGAGGTCACATGTCGGGGTCGAGGGGCAATTTCGAAAGCCAAAGAACGCGGCTTTCCAACGATACCTCACACTTTAAGATCGACTCGCGAATAACGAGGGGGCAGCCTCTCAAAGATTGCCAAATTTTGTCAAAATTTTCAAAAATTTTTTTCTCAAAAACCAAAAGGCCGATCGAGGAACGGATTACTTATTTCTTAAACGCCGGTCGAGTAGAGCGCACAAAAAAATTACGGTCCAAATCGCAGACAAAAAATTTTTTTCATAATCATCCCTTGGTCCCCCCTTCCTATTTAAAAAAAAAAACTTTTTTATTTACCGTCCGATTTTCAAAATTCGACCGGCGTTGGATAGATCTCGTCGAAAAAGCAAAAATCCAATCATAAAACGTTCGGGGTCATATATAAACGAGGGCGCTAGAGGGCGATTTAGGGGATGACAAAAAAATTAAAAATTGACGAAATTTGGCACACACGTTTGTACGGACCTTAGAAAGTCTCCGGTACAACTTTTACCCCTTTACGACCAAAGGGAAGGGTAATAGGGGGTGATAATAGGTTAGAGGTTAGGTTAGAGGTTAGGTTAGAGGTTAGGTTAGAGGTTAGGTTAGAGGTTAGGTTAGAGGTTTGGTTAGAGGTTAGGTTAGAGGTTAGGTTAGAGGTTATGTTAGGTTAGGTTAGAGGTTAGGTAGCATTGAAAGCATGCTGCGAAATAAAATTACTATCTGATTAGGAGAATACAAATTCACTACTAAACTTGGATTTATACTCAGTAGCCGGCTAACATTCAACGTGAGGGTCGTAAAGTTCGGTATTCTGCCAGGAAAACTTGCTACTACAAAACTCAAATCTTAAGGGCGCCAGATCTAGCGAGGTAATAAATCCTCTTGATCAAGGAGGATAGGCTCTTCCAAGCATAGCATAATGAAGGTGAAAAAAACTAGGTATTGTGGCAGAGAGGAATTTAATACGTCTGTATTTCGATTTAAAATTAAATATGATTATTATGTAACTACAAATTATAATTGTGGTGTGAAGCACGGTAACAATAATAAGAAAAAAAACTAATAGGATTAATTCGTCCACACCGCAAATAATCAACAGTGTCAACAATATCTTACTACGGTAATTAATACGGGTTCTGGATTCGCTAGCTAGCCCCGCACCCTGTTTATATTTGGGCCAAATAGAGGTTCGTACAAATAGACCTCCCAAACTGAGAACAAAACGAATTTTCCTTCACAGGTAAGTATTATCATGAATGTAATTATTTGTAATTAAATGGTAAGAATTAACTCTTTTGATTTCAGTTTACATAGCCCTTGAAGAGGGTTCATCAACTCAAAGCCACAAAAATTGTAAGTATGCAAATACAGGTTAATTATGATTAATTAATTTTTATTCTCCCACTTTATTTCAGAACAAACGCAGATGCAGCAAGGTAAGGTACCAGTAAGTGCCAGATTTTAGGCAGCGGAACAAAAAAAGCTGAAAGTTATGAGATACTCTATATCTAGCTTAAGAGATACCTAATTCTTACCTAGATGTTATAGCTTGCAACTCGTCCGCAATGTTCTAAACTACAAATTACAAAGTTTTAATACTACACTACCTATCAATTATTTATCTTACCTCAAACTTATGACTACCATCCTAATATTCTAATTCGACGTTGTTTCCTAACTATATACACTAATCAAATTCCCAATTGGTATTCTCTGTAAATGATAGCTTTAATAATTTAGAAAAGTTGTAATTAAATTTACCTTCAGGCTGCTTCAAATCTGATAAAACAAACTACTTATACTGATTCCCAACTATACCATCAATTCGATCAGCCAACCAGTATCAGATACCTACAGGAGCTAGGAGATAAATCCTGATAAACAGTGAATTCCAATAATTATAATTCTCTATCTCCCTAGCCGCACGAAAAGCTAACCCAATCTACTCTACCTCGAAAAATATCCGTTTTTCCCAAAATTGATATCCCAAGAATTTCCAAGTGGGAAATGACCTTATGATAACTAAATTGTTAAATCTAGTGTTAAATTTGCCTAAAACTATGCAAAATATCATACAGCTCTAACCTGAACTACCCTAACTATCTACTACCTACCCTACACACTATTTCAAATTGCTACAAGCATACCTTCCCCTTCTCGCAAGGGAAAACAGAGATACACGTTTGCATCTGTATTGGAAAAGTATTGAAAGCACTTTAGATTTGCTACCCTTATACATTCTACACATTGCTCTCTGTCACTTAAATACGATTTTAGTAGTACGGCGGTTGTCCCCTAACTCTGTACCTATGCAATTTTTCTAATAATAGCTCGTGTGAAACGCAATCAAATGCTTTACTTAAATGAAGTAAAGTCATACCTATTGTTTCGTGAACTTCAAGTCTATTTGTTATGATTGATATGGCAGCATAAATAGCTTGTATAGTAGAGCGCTCGTTTCTAAATCCAAACTGATGGGAGTCTGAAAGAATAAGAGGTTTATTAATGTACTTTACTAGTCTTTCTTTCAATAACATTTCAAATATTTTAGAAATTAACGGAACTATAGTGAGATCAGTCGGTAATTATCATTTGAGTCTATTTCGCCCATTTTAAAAGTAGAAAGGACTTTGCTAATTTTTAGTAGTTTGGGAAACTTTTTTCATCTACCTATACATTTATTAAATAGGTAGGTACGTTAGGTAAGGTTTGGGTAAGGTTTGTGTTGGGTTTGGGTTAGGTCTGGGTTAGGTTAAGGTTAGGTTAGGTTAGGTTAGGTTAGGTTAGGTTAGGTTAGGTTAGGTTTAGGTTTAGGTTTAGGTTTAGGTTAGGTTAGGTTAGGTTAGGTTAGGTTAGGTTAGGTTAGGTTAGGTTAGGTTAGGTTAGGTTAGGTTAGGTTAGGTTAGGTTAGGTTAGGTTAGGTTAGGTTAGGTTAGGTTAGGTTAGGTTAGGTTAGGTTAGGTTAGGTTAGGTTAGGTTAGGTTAGGTTAGGTTAGGTTAGGTTAGGTTAGGTTAGGTTAGGTTAGGTTAGGTTAGGTTAGGTTAGGTTAGGTTAGGTTAGGTTAGGTTAGGTTAGGTTAGGTTAGGTTAGGTTAGGTTAGGTTAGGTTAGGTAGGTAGGTTAGGTTAGGTTAGGTTAGGTTAGGTTAGGTTAGGTTAGGTTAGGTTAGGTTAGGTTAGGTTAGGTTAGGTTAGGTTAGGTTAGGTTAGGTTAGGTTAGGTTAGGTTAGGTTAGGTTAGGTTAGGTTAGGTTAGGTTAGGTTAGGTTAGGTTAGGTTAGGTTAGGTTAGGTTAGGTTAGGTTAGGTTAGGTTAGGTTAGGTTAGGTTAGGTTAGGTTAGGTTAGGTTAGGTTAGGTTAGGTTAGGTTAGGTTAGGTTAGGTTAGGTTAGGTTAGGTTAGGTTAGGTTAGGTTAGGTTAGGTTAGGTTAGGTTAGGGTAGGTTAGGTAGGTTAGGTTAGGTTAGGTTAGGTTAGGTTAGGTTAGGTTAGGTTAGGTTAGGTTAGGTTAGGTTAGGTTAGGTTAGGTTTGGTTAGGTTAGGTTAGGTTAGGTTAAGTTAGGTTAGGTTAGGTTAGGTTAG